GAAAAGCCTAAAATATTTCCTGTTTGGCCATTAGAGAGACTAGGCCAGTGCCTGGAGTGTGGGTGCAGCTGGCTCCACACCTGACTTGATCAGAGGCTGTGCTCTCCTCCGACACCGGATCAGTTACTGAGCTGACTGACATCTCTAGGCTCCAAATCCACCAACCACAAATACTGTCAATGATGTGGGAAACAAAGGCAGAAGAAAAATGATTAAATTTCCTTACTATGTACAGCCCATTGACAAGTCCTTGAAACAGGCAGAGTGACATTCCTCTAGCGACTCAACTGCTTCAATGTTGATACTTTGCTAAGGGCAAAAGGCAATCTTAGCCCAACCCCAGGACCCTGTGAGTCTACTTTAACATATAAAAATTCCTTTGGAAACTTCCTTTATCTCTAAACCCCCCAAGATACATGTTGGCAATCATCACCCAAGCATATGATCCACCAATAAACATCTGAAGGGTCTCATGACTCAGGTTTTATTAGACGGTAATAAATGACCTTTTCCCAACAAAAGCTAGCCCCCTCAAGGTCCTGGAAATCTTGCTTCCAAAATTCCTTAGAGACTTACCCTATCCCTAACCCCCTCCCAACTTGAAAGTATGTAATGGGCCCCTCCTCATGACCCCAGTGCAGCTCTTCCTGCCTATGGGTCCTGCCCTCGTGCTTTAATAAAATCAACTTTTTGCACCAAAGATGTCTCAAGAATTCTTTCTGGGCTGTCGGCTTTGAACCCTAATATTCTTTCCTACATCATTAACAAGAAACCACATAAAAGCCCGAGCCTGCTGAAAGGTCAGCGTAGCCACACAAGTACATGAGGCCTAGCACTGTCACCAACTACCATTTCCACACTGCAGCTTGCTATGTTCTTATGTAGAAAAACCACTTACTATGGGAATAAAAGAGAAATTTAATGAAGTAGATCTAATTTTACTTACTTAGGAAAACCATAAATTCTGTAAATCTTTTTTTTTTTTTTTAAGATTTTATTTGTTTGACAGAGAGAGACACAGCAAGAGAGGGAACACAAGCAGGGGGAGTGGGAGAGGGAGAAGCAGGCTTCCCGCCGAGCAGGGAGCCCGATGCGGGGCTCAATCCCAGGACCCCGGGACCATGACCTGAGCTGAAGGCAGACACTTAACGACTGAGCCACCCAGGCACCCCAAATTCTGTAAATTTCTTTACAACAGTATCCCCCTTTATGAATTTTTCATTATCAGTAGATCACTTCCATTGCTCCCTACATCACCTCCATTAAACCAAATATTAAGTTCTTTGTGCTACTGTGTTCCTTATCTTGATGCCCTTCTAAAACACTCTAACTCAATTTGAAGAAATCTCAGTTGGTTCCTTTTTTTATGATCATTCTCTCCAGAGGCGTATTTTCTTCTGCATTACAACAGTAGAACATAAGGCTTTTGAGCTATTTTTACTAAGGCTAAAATTTATTTTTAAAGACTTTTGAAGACTTCCATTTCTAATACTATGGTGGGCAAAAATGTCTGAAGGGCCTGTTTATAAACCACAGGATCCCACATAAGAATAATTTTTATGTATGAGAGAGTCACAGCAAGTAGAGCAAGTAAGGAGAAATTTCAAGGTTCTCCCTTTAACCAAAAGGAGAAAAAACAAAAAAAGAACTCAAAGATCTACAAATAGCAAATAAGCATATGAAAATATGCTACACACATCAGGGACATGCAAATTAAAACAACAACGAGCTACCACCACATACCTGTTAAAAGGGCCCAAATCCAGAACACTGACAACACCAAACGCTGCGAGAACTCTGACTCACTGTCGGTGGGAGTGCCAAGTGGTCCAGCCACTTTGGAAGACAGTTTGGCAGTCCTTCGGTGCTCCACCCAGATCTCTTTGAATCCCTTTTACCAGCACTGGGTGCCCACCCGCAACTTTTGAAACTCTGCTGCTGCTAATGGCTTACACCTGCCCCCACCCTCAGAGTATACCCCAGGACCCAGAGCAGAGACACAGAAGCCCCTGGGAGTTCACATCCACCCAAGCCCCTAGGAATGCCCCAAGTCAGTGACTGATGCAGAAATATGGAAGCTCAGCTCTCTTGCCTTAAGGGGTGACAAACTTCACACAGCATTTTATGCTCTGGGACTCCATGGAATCTTGTTGATCCTGGGACTTCTCCTGAAATCATATCCTTATTAGTTGGCCTCTTTGTCTTCCTTTTCCTATCCCCACCAATCCCTCACTGGTTTCTCCTGGGAGCACTTCTTTAATAAATCGCTGGCCTGGGAATCCTTATCTCAGGATCTGATTCTGAGGAACCGGAGCTAAGACAACCTCAAGTACTGGAATTACTAGATATATGATACAAAACAATTATGTATTAAGTGCTCAAAGATTTTAAAAATGTAACCACAAAGAATGAGCAAACAGTGAGAAACTATTAAAAATGAACAAGTATATTTGGTAAAGAAGCAGACAGAATTATTAAAGTAAAATTTTTTTTTTTTTTAAAGATTTTGTTTATTTTTTAAGATTTTATTTTTTCATTTGACAGAGAGAGACACAGCGAGAGAGGGAACACAAGCAGGGGGAATGGGAGAGGGAGAAGCAGGCTTCCCGCAGAGCAGGGAGCCCAATGTGGGGCTCGATCCCAGGCCCCTGGGATCATGACCTGAGCCGAAGGCAGACGCTCAACCGACTGAGCCACCCAGGTGCCCCTAAAGTAAAAATTTAATTACTGAAATAAATTCAATGGATGGCTTAAATAACAGATTAGACATAGCTAAAACCAGAATTAGTGAACTGGAAGAAAAATCTAAAGAATGTATCCAAAATATATTCCAACAAGACAGGGAGACGGAAAATATAAGAGAGTTTAAAAGATGTGAAGGCTAGAATGTGTTGGTTCAACAGACATTTAATCAGAATCCCAGACGGAAAACTAGACCCAGCAATCTCATTCTTAGGTATGTACCCTGTAGATATTCTTGCACTTCTGCACCAGGAGACATATGGAAGGACACAAATGGCAACATTGTTTACAATAGCCCCCAAGTGGAAATAGCTTAATGTTCATCAGAAGGATAAAACATAAGTAAATAATAGCAAAGTCACACACTAGAAAATCATATAGCAATAAGCAATAAACCTAGATGTACTACAGCTATATAAACAATAACATGGATGAATCTCAAAAAATTCTTTTATAAAGCACAAAAATAAGCAAAACTAAACCATATATTATTTAGAGATACATAGCAATGATAAAACTTTTTTAAGGCAAGGTTAACAATATAGTTACTTCTGGTGAGAAGATAGAGGATCAGTCTCAAAAGGTGTACACAGGGTATTGACAATATTCTAGATCTCAAGATGGATAGTAGTTTCATGGATGTTCATTTTATTATATTCTTCATAAACTAGCATAAATGACCTATTTTGTATATATTAAATATTATATTAAAAGTAATGTTTGTAGACTCTCTATAAAACAAATAGTATAGATGGGTGCTAAAGGAACTCAGACCCACCCTTACCATGTCAGATGAACCACAGCTTGAATCTTGTATCTTACTGTGTCTTTGAGCAGGTTACTGACCATTCATAGAACTAAGTTTTCTCATAAAATAATGGCAATAATATCTGCCTCATGGGGCTTACTATGAGAATTTATATGGTAAGATTACTAGACTATAAATTCCACGGTGGGTAGGACTGTGTCTCTCTTACTCATCTATGTATCCCTAGTGGATAGCACATGCCTGGAACATAGCAGGTATTTATGCTAATTCCTCTTCCTTCTAAAAGAGTACAGAACAAAGTGTTAGGAGTATATGTGTTTAGCTTTAGAGTGGTTCTTTCATTGTTTTTGGTTTTGAGGTTTTTTTCATTTTTCAAGATTTTATTTTTAAGTAATCCCTACACCAACGTGGGACCTGAATTTACAACCCAGAGATCAAGAGTCACATGCTCCACCAACTGAGCCAGGCAGGCACTCCTGTTTGTTTGCTTTTCAGACTGACGTTTCATCTTGGCACTGACTATATGTTACTCTATGTAAGAAGTAACTTGACTTCTCCAGGTTTTGGGTTCTTAATCTGTTGCACAACAAAACTGAACTAAGATATATAATTTCTCAGTGTCTACAGCCTGATGTCACACAATATATATATTAGTCTTTTCAAAAAGTAAACAATAAAGTCAGCATATTTTTGTTACACAAAATGCAAATTCAAGTTACACGTTCATGGATATCCCCCAAGAAGAATAACTACCTAAACAATACCATGTGTGAGATGATCCAAACTGTGTTCAGCGATAGTCCTCTTAGGTGAATGTGTCATGAATTAGGGCCCTTTTACCTTCCAGCACATTACATTAGTTTGGTGCTCCTATCTTTGACCTCCCTCATTCTTGGCCTCTTTCCTATGGTTCCTATTTTTCTTCTGTGATTATTCCCAAAACTTAGCCCTCCTCATGCTTAGCACTCAGCGTATGTAAGTTCATCGACTCGGACACCTTTAACTATTACAGTTATCACAATTCATTTGAGTCCTGACAACATTAGATCAATAGGTCAAAACAAACCTCAGGACCCCCTGTTCCTAAAACATAATGCCCATGCAGCTCTGGCTACCACATGCTGAGCACCGACTCGTCTGCCCAGAGGGAACACAGGGAAACCCAGAGCACCGGGCCTGTGTGACACGGGAGAGAAGCTGACTCACTCAGGCTGGAAGCCTAAGAGGGATGTTCAGCTCCTCCACTCCCATCACACATCTTTACAATCCTAATGGCACTCTCCTCATAATCTGAGCCCCTTCTTCAGTCTGAATTTGTTATGGCTCACCCACCGTGGGCTTGGCCTTTCCAGCTCAAAGGCACTGTAACAGCCATCAAATGTTAGAGTAAAATCACAGATATTTACAGCCTTGAGAATACAATAAACAAGACCCACTGAGAGCAGCAAGAGTTGTTTCAATTCCCCCTGGAAGGTGTCAGCTAACTTACCTGATCTTTTCCAAGGCATTTGTTACCTGCTGTGGCTCAATATCATAGAGCTTCACCTTGAAGCCTCCACTGGCAAACAACATAGCCCAGCTTTGCCCAATGAGTCCGCTAAAGGGAAAGAAAATTAAGAAAGGCTTCCAGTTAACTTCATGGAACAGTTTTTCATTCCTAACCCAGAATGAAATTTTTAAAATTATACAAGATCCTATTTTGAAATACTTAATATCTTAAAATTATACATCTGTCTAGCTGTATTTATTTAAAATGTTATCTCTTTCCATATAGGAGCCCCTGAATCCTCAGCTCCAGGGTCAGCTGTAACCTTCTGCCCGGTACACTGCTGGATGTCTGGTGGTTAACATTAGTTCACACACTGAAGCAAAAACTTACAGTAGAGAGGTGTGGTAGGGTGTGGTGGAGGCAAAAGGCCCCTCTGTGAACCCCCATTTGACCACTGTTTCAGGCAAGTTACTTAATGTGAAGAAAAGAGAGAGTATTTTCCCCAACCTCCTCAAATAAATAATTGCTGCTACCACCAGCAGCTTTTGAGCAGATCTTGGGTGCCAGGCAAGATTTAACATCGTACGTGGCTTTCCTCTGTTAATCTTTACAACAACCCCACAAGGTAGGTGCTATTATTATTTCCCATTTTATATATGGGAAAACTGAGGCATAGAGGGGTTAAGACTATGCAGGCTGTACATGCTACAGCTATGAGATGAACCCAAACAGCTTGACCCTCAGATCCTAACCACTGGTACCTCTGCCCACACTGTTTCAGTATGTTACCAGAAAAGGAAAAGATAAAAAAGACATGAAGAACTCACACAGAGTTGTTCAAAAGTTTCAAAATGAATGTTAAGGAGCACGTCTAGAGCCCAAATCTTGGTTTCTAGTATCATTCTCCAATAAAGGGAACCAAGGCTCCTTGGAGAAATGGCTGATTCTAGGACTGAGCCAGGAAATACACAACATGAGCCCAGAGTAATTGGGAGTGCCAGAACGTAAACAGTGCTAATAAAAAATTAAAATTTAAAAAAAAATTGTAAAAGCCTATCTTGACAAAACATGTCAAAGGAACGCAGGAGCCAACTGAAAGCTCTAGGGGACAAAGCTGGAATAAGTTGAGCAAAAAAAGAAAGTAACACTGGAATATAACCCAAAGTATAAACTAAGTATCCATGAGTCCACATTGATATCATAAATGTTTGAATAAATAAATGGGGGAGAAGCCAAATCTCCCTTGCAGAAGAATTGCACAGTAATTTATGTAGACACTCTGCCCTCAGAGAGTTGTAACCAATTCCCTATTACTGAAGCATGGGCTGTACAGAATGACTTCCTTCCAAAGAGTACAGTAATGAAAAGGGAAAATTTAGAGTGACTTTACAGTGGAGAAAACTGGCAAACATTACCTCAGACAAGTGATCAAGGTCAACATCAACAGTAATAAATAATGTTATAGGATGCACCCTGGATACAACATGATGAGAAGGGCACTTTATCTCTGTAGTCTTCCTCCCAAATACCCATCATCCATCTAATAATGAGAAAAACATCACACAAATCCCAACACAGAACAGTCTCCAAACTATCTGACCACCACTCCTCTTCACTGTCAAGGAGACTAAAAACAAAAAATATCTAAGAAACTCACAGTTGAGAGGAGCCAAAAGAGAAATGACAAGTAAATGTAATTTGGTATCCTGGATGGGATCCTGAACATTAGGTAAAAACTAAGGAAATCTGAATAAAGTAAGGATTATTAAATAATAATATATCGATATTAGCTCATTAATTATAATAAATGTACCACACTAATACAAGATATTAATAATAGGGAAAACTGGGTGAGGGAGTATATGGGAACTTTCTGTACTATCCTCACAATTTTTCTGTAAATCTAAAAAAATAAAGCCTATTTTTAAAAAAATGAATGTTTATAACAGCAATTCCACACTTAGGTATGTACCCAATAGAAATGAAACATATGTCCCAAAAAACACCAATTTGTACATATGTGTTTATATGAGCCTTATTCATAACAGCTAAATGGAAATGACCCAAAAGTCCAATAGCTAATGAATAGGTAAATAAAATGTGGTATACCCATAAAAAGTTATTCAGCCACAAAAAGGAATAAAGTACTGATATGTGCTACATGGAACCTTAAAAAAATTCTCAGCAAAAGCAGTCAGTCAGTAAGGTCTACATATTGCATGATTCCACTTCTAGGAATTGGCAAATCTATAGAGACAGAAAGTGGATCTGTGGTTGCCCAGGGCTGGAGAGGAAGGAACAGGAATGACAGCTGATGGAGGCAGGGTTTCTTTTGGAACGAAAAGAATACTCTAAAATTGACTATAGTAACAGTTGTACAACCCTGTGAATATACTAAAAGGGTGAATTGTGTGCTAGATGAATGTCAACAAATCTGTGATTAAAAAATGAACGTATGTGAAAATGTTTTGAAAACCAACTCCTGCTACATGAGTGTTCAGCTAGAGGTGAGAGGAAATCAAGGGATTTCTCCAAAGAAGGTGACATCCAGGAAGGTAGTTCATAGAGCTAATAGGCAACAAAATCCACTTAAACTTGTTTCCAATTCCAAACTCCAGTGCTGTTTCGTTACATTCCAAGCTCACCCATTCAAAAGGGTATACCAGTTTCCCCTTAGGGGACCCATAGGCTAACAGATATATTTGATGATGCTCCACAAGGGCAGAACTAATGGTGGGGCCAGTGAGAACTTACCGAGCCTGCTGAGTTATCCAACTCTGGATGCAAAGAATAGCTATCTGTGTTCATCATCTTATGATTTTAAAAATGACCGCTAAATTATTCAGACTTAAAAGGAAGGAAATTCTGGACACATGCTACAATATGGATCAAGGTGGAAGACATAATGCAAAATAAAATTAACTCAGTTACCAAAAGACAAATACTATGTGATTCCACTTGTATGAGGTACTTAGAGTAGTCAAATCCATAAAGACAGAGAATAGAATGGTGTTTACCAGGGGTTGGGGGAAGGGAGCACTGGGGACGTGTTATTTAATGGGGACAGAGTTTCAGTTTTGCCAGAGAAAAAGTTCTGGAGATTGGTTGCACAATGTAAATGTACTTTAACACTACTAAACCACGCACTATTCTCACAACTTTAATATGATTTGGAACTTTTCCATAATATAAAGTATATGAATGGGAAGAAAGGAAGTAGAGACAGAATATAGACAATTTTATTGAGGTCTGAAGAAAAATGTGGCAGTTACTCGAAGGACATAAGAGGTCAAGAGGGGATACTTACGAGGCTGGGAGAAATAACCGTGTTTACATGCTATAGAGCATGATTCCCTACAGACAACACAGTACTTTGGCCTGACACTCCTGCACCTACTTCCACTGCTTGGGTCGTCCTGAGGCTTGATGTTACTCAGGAAAAGGCAGCCCCAGTAATCAAGCAGGTGGAAAATCCTTGGAATTGGAGGTATCAGAACAGGGGTAGGTGATCATCGGGCATCAAATATTGGGTAGGTGATTAGGTGATCTACTTTTCTCTCAATCTTGAGATTTTTGCAATGCCACTTGGAATATTAAAAGTGAATTGCATCTGATCCACAAATTGCCCCTGGTACTCTTCATACAATTCAAAGACAAATCAACATTCTCTAGGGTTCCTCTAAATTGGAAGCTTCTCAAAATGTGATCCAGATATCAGCAACATATTCCCCACTTCAGAGGGGCCGAAAGGGGTGTGTGGACAAAGCCAGGCATTGAGTGGTGGGAGGCACTTTTCCATGAGCACTCACATGTCTTACTGGCTGTTCTTCAGCCAGATCATTTGTCAGAGTTATTTTGCAGAAATACATCCCTCGAGGATAAAGAGCAAGCCTGCTTACCTCTTACTATAAAAACAGTAGTTTCCCCAAGCTCAATGTTCCTGTCCTGGAACACAGTGAATCTGCAGGTATCCACCTGGAACCTCCACATCTCCTCTATGGGACTCAGGGCAAAAAGAATAAATGCTAATAGGATGCTCATGCTGCCTGCCCTGCTACGACTAAGAAAATTCTCTGTCTCTGACCCATGAGTCTCATGTCCTCTGCCAGCATTCAGGAAATATTAACAAGCTAAATTATTAGCTTGCAAGTAGACAGAACATTCAGCAGGACAGGCCTGTCTCAGATGTGGTGTCATTTCATTATAGTAACTACGTGCTACTTTGGGGAAGGGGGGTGGCTAGAATAGCCCGCTGTCAAAGGATGGGCTCCAAGAAGTATTATCCCCACTCCATCTCTCCTCCCCCTACCTTTCCTAATTCAGCTAATCTATCATTCCGGCTCTGAGTACAGAAAGCACTCCACACAGTTACAACGCCGCCCCCCCTCCCCCATCAGGCTTGGGCCCAAGCAACTGAAGGGAAGAGCTTGGCATGCCTCCCTCCTATTGACCTGAAAATCCTGTTAATGCCACAGAAGTGCTATCCAAGCTTCAAAGCCCTCACACAATGCTCACTTGAGCTAAGCCTCTGATACATACAAGAGGTTATTGAGAGGGGCTACTATCTTGTTACAAGGTATCTTATGTGAAGCCATTTGTTGGAAAAATGGGAGTGAAAACAACTAAAATACTTCTACTCAATTTCAGGAGAGGGAACAAGATTATACAAAATGTTTTACTCCATATTCTTCTGCAATATTAAAATATTTTACAATTAATGTAAAATTTACATATATAAATTTTTTATTAAACTCTCAATGCTCTAGACCTGTATTGTCTAATATGGTAGACTCTAGCCACATGCTGCTATTTAATTAAAATTAATAAATTTTAAAAATCATCAATAGTACTAGACATGTCTCAAGTATTCAATAGCCACATGTGATAGTGGCCACCAACTTGGACAGCAAGGGCATAGCAAGGACATATATAGAACATTTCCCTCTTTGCAGAAAGTTCTATTGACAAAGCTGTTCTAGACTCTGAGGGAAAAAACCCCATAGACCACAAGCCAGAGTTTGAAAGAGATAGCCCTGCCTGAAGACTTCTCTTCCTCAAACGCCCACTACCCTCCCCACACACACTTCAGAGCTGCAAGCCAGTAAGTT